AACCGCCGCGCCGCGCTCGCCTCCGTCTCCGCCGGCCGGACCCCGCCGCTTTCCCGATGCTGCTCGTGGACGCCGACCGGCCGGAGCCGCTGCGCAGCGGGGCGCGCGAGCTCGCGCTCTTCCTGACTCCCGAGCCGGGGGCCGAGGTAGGGGCGGGCGTTGGAGGTGGAGGACCGAGACTTTCGAGGCCGAGGCCGAGTCCGGGGCTCCCCGGGTCCCCTGAACCCTGCCACGTCCGCTCCGGACGCCAGCGTCCTCGGCTTCTGCGCAGCATCCTCTCTGCTGCCGCTGGGGCGCTGGGCCCGGAGTAGGGGGACCAGAGTCCCCTCTTTTCCGGAGCAGATGCGCTGTAGTTTGAGCTGTCCACTCCTCCAGCCGAGATCCATCCCATCCCGGGATCCCGACCCGCATCGCATCCCCACCCCGAGGTCCCCGCGCCTCCGTCGGTCCCGGACGCGCGGGCGGAGCTGCTGCCCTTTGCCGGCCGGGCCTTCCCTGCGAGCTGCGGGCCAGGTGCCGGGAGGAGCGCGCAGGCTCCCGAGCGCCGGGCGGCCAGGCCGCGGGGCGCGCACGGGGGCTGGGCGGGAGGGGAGCCTCTCTGCGCTCGCTGTTTTTAGAAACGTCACATTCTAGAGGATCTTCAGCTTCAGCTAAAACCAGTCCGTTACAGCGCTTCGAGCAAGTTACTCATCAACCCAAGTTCACCCGGAGTTATGTGGGACCCAAAAGTCAGGCCACGCCCATTTGACATCCCTAGGTGATCTTTAACTTTCCCCCAGATGGTAGAAAGTATTTAAAAGGTTAACGCTGCCCTCCCCTTTCCTCCTTTCAGTGCTCTTTCTCAAGGTTAAGTAACCATCGGTGAAAGTTTGATGTTCAACAATCCAAAAATTTGCATTTGCAAAATAGGCATATTTGTATACTTGATCCTTTTTCCTTACAAAACATCACTTCATACTGTAGTACTGCTATTCAACCTCTTGCTTCTCTTAAAATAGCCTAGAGAGACAGACCCAGCTTCTTTTTGGGGTGATGATGACTTTGTGGATATCCAAAAAGACTACAGAACTTAACATAGTTAGGTGGCCAGTTTTATGATAGGTGGATTATATCTAAATTTTTTTTTTTCAAAAAAGCACCGTGGTCGGCAAGTGGCCAGGAGCACTGTCCACTAGGACTAGAGTCCAGGTGGGCCGTCTGTGTAATTGTAAGTGGTCAGGGAGCCACATAAGAAAAAAAAAAGTGTTGCTTCTTCTTCGGTGTCATTGAGTCCGCTGTGACTCAGCAACCCTGTGACAGCAGATCTGAACCCTGCCTGCCTTGCCCCATCTTCAACATCTCTAATAAGCTCAGGTGTTTGTTACCATCACTGTTAATCCATCCCCTCTGGGGTCTTCCTCTCACGGATCCTGTACCTTTCCCACCGTGAAGTCTTTTGCCAGGAACTGGCCTCTCCTTACAACATGGACAGAGTTTGAGAGACAAAGTTTCACCATCCTTTCCTCTGAAGAGCTCCCTGGTTGCACTTTCTCCAAGACACACTTGCTTACTCTTGTGGAAGGCCATGAGATATTCAGTACTCTTTTCCGAAACCAGAGAGCTCTGGTGGCTGAGTGTTAGGAGAGGCACTGCCAAACCCAAAGGTACACAGTTCTAATCTACCAGTTGCTCTGAGGGAGAAAGATGAGCAACTAACTTGCCATACAGTTCACTACCATGCAAACCCACTAGAGAGTCAGCTATTTGTGAGTTCTGACTCGATGGTACATAATGAAAACAGCATCTCTGATACCACAATTCAGAGGCATTGATTTTTAAAAAGAAACAGGCAAGATACATTTGAATATAGTTAAAATAGCATCAACTCTGAAAAACCAGACTCACAGCCACCTTGGGTTTCCACAATCTGTAAAATGCTTCAAGAGGAGGCTGACTTTTTTCTTCCAAGGAGCTGCTGGTGGATTCAAACCGGGGGACTCACGAGGCCTTTGTGTTAGCAGTGAAACCCACTAGCGACTCTGCCATCAGAACTCCCTGAAATAATGTTATTGTTAAGTGCCTTTGAGTCGAGTACGACTCACAGTGGCCCGATGAACAATAGATCTGAACCCTGTCCTGTCCTGTGCCATCTTCACCTCCGACATACTCAACCATTGCTGCCATCCTTGTGTCAGTCCATCTGGTCTGCCTCTTCTGCTGACCCTCCACCTTTCTAAGCATGGTGTCCCTCTCTGAGGAAAATCCCCTGCTGACAACGTGCCCAGAGTATGTGAGATGAAGCTTCGCCATCCTTGTCTCCAAGGAGCACTCTGATTGCACTTTTCCCCCAGACATATCTCTTTGGGGTTTAGGGTTGGTTTTTTGTTTTGTTTTGTTTTGTTTTTGTTTTTGTTTTTTGCAATCCATGGGATATTCAGTACTCTTCTCCAATACCAAACCTTAAAAGGTATTGATTCTTCCTCTGTCATCTTTATTTATTATCCAGCTCTCAGACTCATAGCAGGTGATTGGAAAGACCATGGCTTAAATCAGGTACACCTTAGTCTTCAAACTGACATCATTGCTTGTCAGGACTTGGGAGAGGTCCCTGACAGCAGAGTTTCCCCAAGTGCTGTACATCTGCTGATCTTCTGACTGCTGCTACCAAGGGTGTTAATTGTGGATCCATGTAAGATGAAATCGCTGACAATTTCAGTCTTTTCTCCTTCTATCATAATGTTGCCTATTGGTCCAGTGATAAAGGCTTTTGTCTTCTTGGTGTTGAGATGTAATCCATATTGAAGGCTATAGTCTTTGATCTTCTGGAGCAACCATTTCAAGTCTTACGTTCAGCAAGCAAGTCTTTCTCACTTTCATCTGCATAACCAGGTTGTTGATGAATCTTCTCCCATCCAGCCGCAGTCTATGGGATCGGTGGACTCAGTTGCACCTAAACAAAGTCGCATGGGGCTTCAGTATCAGGGTCGTGAAGGTCAATGTCATTCTCTGGCTTCAGAAACAAACAATAATTGCTCTCATTTCCTGAGCGTACCCTCAATGTGCTGAGCTATTCATGGGCTGTGTCATTGTATCCTGGCAGTACCCTAGTGGCTTTGATACTTTGCCCATTTTATAGCTGAAGAAATGGAGTCTCCCAACAGGATAAGTAACCAAACCAACTGTGGAGTTGATTCCAGCTCATGGTGGCCACATGTTTCAGAATAGAGCTTCCCTGAAGGGTTTTGGTAGCTAATTTTTTTTTTCTCTCCAAAGATCAACAGACCTTTCTGCTAAAGTATCTCTAGGTGGACTTGAACCTCTGACCTTTGGTTAGTAGCTGAGCGTGTTCATCATTTATATCACTAAGTTCCTCCAAGTGGAGTTTCCTAAATGTCCTGTCGTTTAGGAGCTCTGGTAGCCTGGTGGTAAGGAGTTGCACTGCCAATCTTTTTTTATTTTTAAAATTTTATTTTTATTATTTGTGTGTGTGTGTGTGTGTACCATCAAATCAGATTTGACAGGTACAGGAGGAGATTATTCCTCCTCCAGCAAAGCATCTGGTGGATTTAAACCACACACCTCTGGGATTGCAGTGTAGGTTCTTGCCACTAGGCCACCAGACTGCCAATCTTATGCCACATGGTTCGAGTACACCCACTTCTCTGCAGAAGAATGGAACATCCTCCCATGGAATGCCAGGTCCCTGAAAACCCGCTGGAGAGTCAGCTCTGAGTTGGTTCTGAACAACAGAAAACAACATCAACCTAGTTTAGGAGCCATTTCCCCACGGACAGGCATTTAGGTCGTTTGAAGACTAAGGTGCACCTGATCCAGGCCTGGTCTTTTCAGTTACCTGCTGTACATCTGAGAGCTGGATGGAGAATAAAGATGAAGGAAGAAGAATTGATGCCTTTGAATTGTGGTGCTGGAGGAGAGTTCTGAATAGTCCATGGACGGCCAAAAGAACACAGAGATAAGACTTGGAGAAGGTGCAGCCAGCGTGCTCCTTGGAAGCAAGGAGGGCGAAGCTTCATCTCACTTTGGGCATGTAGTGAGGAGAGGCTATTCCTTGCAGAGGGACGTACGTCATGCTTGGAAAGGTGGGGGATCAGCAAAGAGGAGAATGTTCAGTGAGACAGATCACAGTGGCTCAGAAATGATGGCGACGGCACAGGATAGGTCGGGGTTCAGATCTGTTGTTGCCGTGATTGATGCTGGACTCGGTAGCACCTCACAACAACCCTAACTATTGTCACTGGTTTCAAGCTACCTGCATATTCATCTTTCTTCCTCCTCCTGTCAGCAGTGAGGTGCCACTGTGCCCTGCGGCCAAAGCCCAGCTTCATTTTGTCTCTATTAGGGACAAGCCTGAGGAGAACTGCACATAATAACTTCATTTCCTCGCCGAGGGCTCCCCGACTCGGCTGCAGGCTGGCACACACTTGTTTGTAAGGACCGAATGAAGAGCCTTGACTCCCTGTAGCTCCGCGCAGCAATAAACCCACTTAGCGTCCCTGTGAAGTTTATTTACTGAAAGAAACAAATGACTCCCCAAAAGAGTCAGGTGCAGCCTCTCCTTAAAAGTAGCATCATTAGCAAATCCCAGTGCTGATGCGCTTTCCAGGTGGTCACCAAACTCCCAATGCAATACCATCCTGATGATGCGTCCTGTGGGAAAGAGTAGAGCCGCCCACATAGGGTTTCTGAGGCTGTTGTCTTTACAGAAGCAGACTGTCAAGTCTTTTTTCCCCTAAGAGCAGCTGCTGAGTTTGAACTGCCAGCGTCAGGGTTAGTAATCAAGTTATTTTAACCACTGCACCATTGGGCTGCTGCTAGCTGGGCACATGAGCTGGGAAGAAGGAAGTGTGGTTTGGAAGCAGACTGGGAACAAACTTTGGGCTTTTTGTGGGCAGGGCAGTGTCTCTAGCCCAGTAAGCTTAGCTCTTGGGGTGTCCTGGATTTCCTAGTCAGGAGGGGTCTGCTTCATTCTACACACACACTGTGCCCCTACTCTGTGCCCCCTGTCCAGAGCTCATGAGCCCAAGTCAGCAAGACACGCTACCTTCCTACATGTTCTTCCAAAGTACAACAAATGCCATGGAGCTGAAGAGAGAGGCAATGACAGCTAGCTGTGTGTTTGGGAGGTAGGTACTGGGAAGGTCTCTCA